AGCAGACTGCGCCAGAATCAGGTGAGAGCCACGCCTACTAGTTAACGATTCATAATTAATATGTTTAATCCTTTGCAGGACAAAGTGTTGGCCATAACCAACTTGATTATGGAGGAGCTGCTGGGCGAAGAACGCGATCCACGTGCCTTTCGCGCCAAATTCCCGGAAGAAGTGCTGCAGGAGAACCTGGCCGGGCAGCTGTGGTTTGGCGCCGAGTGCCTTGCCGCCGGCTCATCGATTTTGAACCGCGAATCCGAGAGCAAAGAGATGCGTCCGCTGGCCCAAGCCGTCACCAAAAGTCTGAGCAATGTGCGAGTTCTGCTGCGCGATCAATGCCTGCGCAACAATGTGCCCAACAGCAAGACGCTTCATCTGGACTTTAACGATTCGACCACCGAGCAGCTGTACGAGAGTCTCAAGATCTTCGATCATCTCTTCGCCGAGTTCGAACTAAGCTATGTGAGCGCCATGGTGCAGGTGAAGTCGCGTCACGAATACGAGATGCAGCAATGGATTGGTGTGCTCTTCTCGGAAACGCTGCAGCGTGCCCTAAAGATCGGACTGCTCGATCAGGACATGGTGGATGCTTTCGATCCGGGCCTAATGTTTTCTATACCACGATTGGCTATTGTGGCCGGTTTGGTAATCTATGCAAAGGGTCCGCTCAATATGGATATGCCGGGCGATGAGCTCTCCGAGATGTTTCGTCCATTTCGCACAATACTTATTAAGATCAGGGATCTGTTGCGCAACCTAAGCAAACAGGAACTGTATCAGCTGGAGAAACTGCTCTGCACCAACGAGGAGATCAACACAAAGGTAAGGCTGCTCGTTACATTTTTAATTGCAGCCTTTATTTATCTTTACTGATTTCGCCTGCAGGTGCCACTAGGCTACAGCAGCATTGAAGCACCCAGTCCTGAGCACAACAGCAGCAACAACCACAACAATAACAACCCCAACAGCAGTGACAGCGGCAGCGCAAAAACCAGCACAACAAGCCCGCACAAAGCCGTCGAACGCCTGGTGGATCATCGCAACAACAACAACAACAACAGCAGCTGCAGTGCGAGTGCAGCCACACAGGCCGTCGCACGCTCTCCGTCCATGTTGTCGCTTTCAGCGGGCAGCACGCCCACAGCCTCGCCAGCGCCCTCGCCGACACCCTCGCATTCCATAGCATCCACCTCTTCGGCGGCCACGACGTCCACAAATCCGCCGGCCAACTGGAGCGAGGATGATGATGATGATGATGAGGAGGGGGAAGACGAGGAGGAGGAATGTGGTATGCTAGACAGCGATGAGCAGGACTTGAATGATGATAGCGACAGCGACGTGGATGAATATATTGAGGCACAACTGAAGGCCATTGTGGCAGCGGCAGATTGTGCCTCCGGCTATCTAATACCCAATACAAATCTGGGCAATCTATTGCAACCGCAAACGGCGCCACTCACGGACAACTTCGTGGCCAGCGAAGACGATGAGTTTGGCGCAGAACAGGAGCAGCAGCACCGCCAGCAAGGGGAGCAACTGCAGCCATCATCGGAGCAGCAGGAGGAACCCAGCACCAGTGCTGCCATGTTGGCCGCACGACGCACACTGCAGCGTCTGCGTTTGCCCAGCAGCAGCAGCGAGAATGAGCAAACTCAAATGACCGGAAGCAATCAGAAATCGACAATCAAAACACCAAATGGCGGCGAGCAGTCAATGCGTAGCGGAAGCCAACGCCAACGGCACCACAGTCACCACCATTATCATCGACACCATCACCACCATCACCATCACCGCCAGCATCATCAGCAGCAGCATCAGCATCAGCCAGCACAAGCGGAGCAGCACAGTCAAGGTCACCATCATCATCACCATCAGACGCATCCGCATCGCACAAGTCGCAGCGCACGCAAACGTTGCAGCCAGGAGCATTGGGAGTCGACGACCGCTGAGCAGCAGCAAACAATGGATCATGGCCATGGCCTGGCCAGTGCCGATACCAGCAATGCCTCATCCTTCTCCGATGATGTGTCGCTGGCCATGCGCAATACCACAGCGCGCCTTAAGTTCAAGTGAGTATCCAGCTAACTTACATATCGGCATATATGGCGGCAATTCTGTAACCTATTATCATCATATTGCCCACAGGAGCACTGAGAATCTGCTGCATCGTCTGTTCGTTTGCATTGCTGGTGTTGCCGATCAGCTGCAGACAAATTTTGCCTCTGATCTGCGCCAGATATTGCGCAGCGTGTTCCTTATCAATATGTCCTCGTCCCAGGAGGATATTGATATACCAGAAAAGACAAAGGAATCGGAGCTATTCGAGTTTCGTGCCTCGGAAAACGATGTGATACAGGAGAGCGCCGGCTCCAATCAAAGCATTTACTCAGCCGAGGAGGTCAATCCGGAGCTGGACAATGTGTTCAACATGGGCAGCGGCAACGGTGGTAGCACCAATGCAGCCCGTCACTCCGCGGGCGCGGCAATGCAGCGCAACAATACCATAGATTTGGCCGGTGGCGGCTACAACAACAACAACAGCGGCAGCAGCAGCAGCTCCAACAACTCGACAGTGGCACGCAGCCATGTGGCGCGCAGTCGTAGTTTGGGTGATCAGGAGGCAGCCACCAGCGGCACATTGCAGGAGGAACAACGGCAGCACCAGCAGCTGCAACAGCAGGCGCAACTGCAGCTACAAATGCAGCGACAGCGCAACAATTCCGTTGGCAGCAATTCTCCTTCTAGCGCCTCCTCGAGCAGCTCCAGCTCGGAGCACAATTCACCCATAAGCACACGCAGTGGCAGCCGGAGGCGCCTGCATAGCAACTCGGCATCGATGCCGTCCATAGGCTCAACGACAACAACAGCAGCAGCCGCCGCCACCACAACAACAACATCAGCAACAACAACAACAATGTCGCCACCTGCCTGGATACCAGATGGCAAGGCGCCGCGTTGCATGTCCTGCCAGACGCCATTCACTGCCTTCCGGCGACGTCATCATTGCCGCAACTGCGGCGGCGTCTTTTGCGGCGTCTGCTCGAATGCATCCGCACCGTTGCCCAAATATGGTCTGACCAAAGCGGTGCGCGTCTGCCGCGAATGCTATGTGCGTGAGGTGCGCATGTCCCGGACACAGGCGCACAGCCAGGCGAGCAGGCCGCAGGCGGCGAGTGCCTCTTAGGAGTGGCCACTGGCGCTGCCAACGCCGAGACCAAATATGTGCGCAACTCTACTGGCGCCGCCCCAATGGGGGGAAAAGCAAAACTGTGAAACGCAATCGTTCGTCAAAATTGTTTTCGTTTTTTATTATATTTTGTAACCTAAAAGAAAAGAGAAAGATTTTCAATTCCTAGACAAAAACCCCGCATATACCCCATATAATATATATGTATATATGATATATATATATATATAGATATACCGCTAAATTCTATTATTTTTAACGAATTGACCAATCCGAGTGTCGTATCAAAACTGTACAATAAAGCTTTGATCTATGTATTATACGCAACTATCCATGTAACTATATATAGATATATTTATATATGTACCATTCGGTAAACCTATAAATATGTAACTGCAAACAAATGCTTTCAGCTCATATCATATGTATCAATGCAACATATAGAATATATATGTATACACACAGACACACCCATTTCTCTATGTATGTCTTTATCAGATGATGGCCTGCATTTCAAATAGATCATTTTCGGTTTTGGGACTGGGGTAGCTATTATATTGAAATTGTTCTCGTGTCACGTTTAAGATCTAGACTTTAGTACGTAATGTATATATATTTTTGTAGCATGTGCAGCAAACTGAGCAGAATAATAGACATAAATTCTAGCGAAAATTTGCATAACATTATTGTGATTTATTGTTATTTATATACCCTGTATTAGTCCCAAGATTAAATTCCGCAAAAAGCACCAACAATACGCATTAACAATTAAATGTAATAATAACATTTACTTTATGTACAGGGCATATAAATATATACAGATATATATATATATAGTCGGCATGTACCGACTATTGTGTTCTTACTTTATACGAAATCCACTTTATGTTAAACATTTCTTTAAGCTAGCGGAAAATTGATTTCAACTTTATAAAACACAGTTTTACACATAATATACATATATGCCTATATATATATTTTTCTGACTTGAAATAAAAACTAATAAAAATTAAAAAGCAAAAAAAAACTGTTTAATAAATACATATATCATATTTTGCTTAAATCAATAAAACGAAATTCTAAATAATTGGGTGGTGTTCGGTATGTTAATAATATATCTTACAGAAATCTATTTGAAAATTGATGGAAAGTTTTTTGGGTATTAGAATAAGTTGTTATATTCTGGAAGGATTGTCTAACTTGATGAATATGCATAGAGAGTACATCCGCCGATTCGATCATAAATTGAGAGTTGTATTTAAAACATTACATTTGCATTTTGAAATATTTTTACCAAACTAAAAAATTTTGAACTGAACCTGGAAGATGAAGCTTTAAAAGGGACAATCGGACGTAAATTTTGTTTGCTTCAAGAATCAGATATGTTTAGAAGGTATTTGTAAGATAATTGTTCTTTATAGTCTTAATTTAAAGCTGAACGAAATTAACTAATTAAAATAAAATAAATCTATAAATTAATTACATATATATATTAGGTATTAGGAGGTTTTCCTTAGCGTATATATCTAGCAAACGCTAAGTACTAAAATTAGTTTAAAATTTCAAATAGTTCCCGCGTTCCATTAATCCTTTTGTCTGAGGTGAAGAACATTTATCAATTTATGCTTTCTCCCTTTATGGGTATATTCTAAAGGGTATAGCATGCACAGAGAGAAATATAAAGTCCAACTAAGCGTTAATAGTACTTACCAACTTTTTTTTTTGAGACTTCAAAGTTAGTTTGCATTTTAACTCTGTTCGTTTTGTTTGTTTTGAATTTTTCATAGGCGTGTTTTATTTTATTTTTGTTTGTTGCGCGCTTTTTACCAATTTATTTTGTTGGTTTGCAATTATTTTTGCTGTTGCGTTAGTTTCACGTGTTTTCATATTCGCCGCCCACCAGACTTAAAAAACGACCATGCCGGACCGGAAGTTGCGCAAAAAGAAAATAGTTGAAAAATCAGAATCGACACATTGGCATACGCTGATGTTCGATCCAAGGTACGATGACCAGGTGGACGCGGCGCAGTTGAATCTGATTGAGGATTTGAACGATGATTTCTTTGGCATATCGTACGAGCTAGTGCAGCATCTGGTGCCCGTCAATAACTTTCTGGCCAGCAAGATGAAGCGTTTCGTTGACATTTTGGCCAGATTGCATGCATACTACGTGGATGAGGTGGAAGCTGCCAAGAACACGCAGGCGAAAGTCGATTCCGCAAATGAAAAGCTACAGCTGGCCATTGAGGCATCTGCCGATTCGCAGAATTTGATGGAGCGACTGCGCGAATCGTTGGCCGAGGCCTGGCGCACAACTGATGCGGCCCAATATCGCGAGGCCCTGTCGCGAGACGCTCAAGGGGACTATACCACAAAGGAGAATCATGCCAGGCTAATGAACTCCACAGACAGTCGTCGTTCGTAAGTAGAGATCCAGATAATATCTCTCTTTCACTCACGTTCTCTCTCGCTCTCTCTCTCTCTCTCTGCCTCTGTCTATCCTATCTCCCTCAGCAAGGAGATGCGCATACGCGGGGTTGTCTTTCGGGAACGCGATCGTCTGGCCAGAGAGCTGAAGGAATACCAAAAGCGCCTGGAAACGAATCGCGTCTATGCCTCTTCGCTGGAGGCCATCATTTTAGATCATCGCACGACTATTAAGGCTCAGCAAAATCGTGTCAAGCAGCTCGAATCGGATTTATTTGGACTAGAGCACAAGAATCGTCAACTTGTGGAGACCCTGCAGGATAAGGTCATCAGCCAGCGCAAGGAATTGGAGTATATTAATTCAGTGAATCAGGAACTGCGCGTTTTTGAGAAAAAATTTCATGAGCACTCGACCATTAATAATAATCTACGACTGACAATCGATCGGCTCTCGCATGAGAACAACAATTTGATAAAGATCAATCATAAAATGGACGAGGAGTATCGCCGCATCAAAGTGGTGCTCACAAATTTGGAATCCACCAATAAAGCGCTGCTGCGCGAAAGGGATGAATTGGAGCGATCAATTCGACTGAGTCTGGCCGATAAAAAAAAGAAAGCCGATGTCTATCTGCTGCTTAATCGTCGATTCCATCAGCTGTCTAAGAAGAACGCCGAATACGCTGATCAAGAGGCGCACCTACAGTAAGTGGGAATCTACATAAAGAAGGATTTGAGAGAGCAATTTTTCAAAACACCGTCATAGTGTAAGCTTTCTAGTTCGAGCTGTGCATTGGTCCACATCCTGGAAATCAGTCGGTCAATCAGTCGATCAATCTCCCATTTTGTCGAATAGTTCCTTCAGTCGGTCAGTCCGACGTTCACTGCGTCAGTGGGTCAATCAAGCAGTCAGTTTGTCCGTCAATCAGTCAGTTCATTAGCTAGTCTGTCCACCACTCCGTCAAATAGACCGTCAATCAGTCAGTAAGTCAATCAGTCAATATGTCAATCAGTCAGGTCGCCGGTCAATCAATCAGTTAATCAGCCAGTTCGGCTAGTAAGTCAGTCAAAGCCTCAATCAATCAATCAGTGTGCCATTAAATAATCCAGTATGTCAATCAAATTCAGTCAGTCTTTGGGTCAATCAATCAGTCGGCGATTTATTCAGTCAGCTAGCCAACCAATCGGCTTGTCATTCAATCAATCAATTTCCATTAAAAGCTCTCCAACTGTTTCCCCACTGTTCTCAGTAACGAGCTGACTGCGCTAGAAAAGAAACTGTTGGTGACCAACGGGCAACTGGAGGATACGATACGGCAGAAGGAGGATATCAGACGGACTCATAAAAAGTTGGAAACGGAGTTGGCCGGGCATAACGATGCAATGGCTGCATTGCGGCACGATCTGGTCCTGCAACGGCATCGCACGCAGGATGTGCAAAGCGATCTGAGTCGTGCAAACAAATTTTTGGACGACAAAGATTGCTTGATACACAAGATCAAGAGGGAGGTCAATGAGCTGCAGGCAGAGGGCAATGAGCTGAACAAGACAATCGAGTCATTGGAAGGTAAGCAAAACACACACACACACACATACAAAGACTCACTCACACCGATTCACTCACTTACAGCAAAAGTGGCGAGAAAAACGGAAAAACTGGCGGAACTTAAGGAGCAGCTGGATCATAAGCACGAGAGCTATCTGAAGGCGAAAAAACAGATGGAAATCGTGCACAGCGAGAAGATAATGCTGGAGAAGAATCTGAACATGTGCGGCCGGGAGAGGCAGGGATTGCAGAATATCAATGGCAAGCTCAGCTTTCAGATAAATCAATTGTGCCAGCAATTGGCCACCAACGAGAAGGAAATAGCTGCCCAAAAGAATCGCATCGATCAGCTGGACAATCTGTTGAAGCACAAGCAGAACGAGATTCATGCCAAGGATCGCCATCTGGAGCGCATGCGCTCCGATCTGAGCGAGACGAAGATGCATGCGGAGCAGCTGCAGCACACCATCGAGCAGGATGAGAAGCGTTTCAAACAGATCTCCATCAGCCTGGACGAGGTCAACAAGGAGAAGTCACTGGTCGGCCAGCAAATGGTGCGACGAAACGGCGAAGTGCGCATCCAGCAGGAGCAGCTCGCCATGATGCAGCTGGCAATCAAGCGCGGCACCATGCAGTACAATCAACGAGTGGACGATATACGGCTGCTCAAAACGGAGATCACCAATCTGTCCATGTCCAACGAGTGCTTGCAGCGTGCCCTGAACGAAAAGTGTAACATGCGCCACGAGGTTGTGCGACTCGAGCGTCAGCTCAATCGTGAACGCCTGCACGTGGCCGCGTTCACGGAGGAGATGAAGTATCCATACCGCATACATCGCTGGCGTGTGCTAATCGGCAAGGATCCGTGTAAATATCAATTGATACGCAAAATTCAGGTGCTGCTCAAGCGCAACATACGGCTCAGCGTTGAGCGTGTCAATATGGAGCGTCGCTTGCAGGACGCACAGCGACTGTACGATACGCTCAAGAAGCAGCTGCAGCATATGCCCGATCCCAATACCGTGAACCGTCTCTGGCTGCAGCAACGCGTCAATCAGCGGCAGAGCCGCAAGGTGAAGGCAATGCAAGCCGAGCTGGCCATCAATGAGATTGATCTGAAGTCGCGGGATCTGATCATTGATGAGTTTCAGCAGGTGATCAAAAAGGAGCAGCTTCTGCAGCAGCCCAACGAAGCGATCGATAAGCTACTTAAAATCGTCTCCGTATCGCGCAAACGCCATGCCAACAAGCACCAGCAGGTCTTCCACATGAGCTCCAGGAGCAGCGAGCAGTGCGGCGACTTTGCATACTCCGCCGCTTAAAAGGAAACCCCAACGACTGTGGCTTTTACTGATATGTGTGCATTTATTTAGCCAATCCTCTAGAGCAGCGTGCTGATCACCTTAAAGCCGGCGCCCAGGGTGCGTGGCAGCTGCGCCGGTGCCGAGTAGCAATGCGCCTGCATCTGCTCCCATAGTTGACGCTCCTCCAGCAGCTTCTGTTTGCGTCGCTTCTCCTCCAGCAGCTGCGTCTTGGTCTGCGCCAGGCTGCCGCGCAGCTCAACCAGCTGCTGTGCGTTGCATTTCTCGCCAGCCTCCCGGGCACTCAGCTCGGCCATGAGCACCTTCAGCTTTCGATCCTTGGCGGATAGGCAGGCCTGCAGGCGAAACACAATTCCACAATTGCAGCAGAATATGAAGATTTGTAAACTATTATTTATAACGAACAGATTATATTTTTGATACGACGAGAGGTTTGTTCTTTTCTGTTAATGTGACCACGGTCAATATTTCATTATCGAATGCAAAGCAATGCTAAGGACTAAAGTTAAATAATGTGTTCAGGGAGGACAATCTATTATAAACTGAGGCAGAATTATGTGACCATGGTGGACAGTCTTTGGATGGATAGGGTATTTAATTAGAATATGCTATTAGAAAAAGACAAGGAATATAGAAACTAAATAATGGAGGAGAATCGATTATTATCTGAAGTCAAATTATGTGAAACAATTAGATAAAATTCCAAGAGAGTCGTGATAAAAAGTAGAACATAGATAAAGTATAGAAAAGATAATAATGTGACCATGAAGGAACCTAAGAGAACCTCTCACTAAGATTGAACCTGATTTAAACTTCTCTCTATATTAAGAATTATATTTGCCAACAAGTAAGCAACCACGCCCACCTTGACAGTATTGAGCTCCGCCTGCACCTTGTGACTGGGCAGCTTGAGCATGAACTCCTTGAGTGCGGCATAGAGCTGTTGCGCCTCGGACAGCGCCCGTTCCTGCTCCAGGGCAGCCACGTTCTGGCTGAGCAGCTGTTTGCGCAGGATGTGTATGCGTTCGAGCAAATCCATTTTTTCCGGATCCTTGCCGCCCAACAGACGCCAGCGATGCACATTCATGGGCGTCATCATTTCGTCCTGCAAGGCGCGCGCCTTGATGCGCTCCTGGTTCAGCAGGCGATGCATTTGCAGCAGCTCCTGCCGCAGATCGGCGGCACTTTCGCGATCGGCGCGCAGCACATTGCGTTCCGTGCGCAAGTTTTTAATCTCAACGCCCATTAGACGCATATCGTCCTGGCACTGGAGAAACTGGCGCTCCGTCTGATCGTGGGCGGTCTGCAGATTCTCCAAATTGTGCTGCAGTTTGGAGTACTCCTCGTTGCGCCTGGTCAGCGCCGCACTAATCGAGTTCTTCTCGTTCATCAGATTGTCGACATCCTTGCGCAGGCGTGCCAAACGCTGCTCGTCCTCCTGCAGCGATTTGGCATGACGATCGTTCTCCTTGCGCTTGTCCAGCAGCTCCGCCTTGGTGTGCTGCTGACCCAGCTGCGCATGCCGCACATCGTTGCGCAGCAGGCGACGCTCCTTCTCCATGCGATCAATTTGCAGCTGCTGCTTGCTCAGCTCCCCATCCCGATAGCTAATCTTGCCCTTGAGCGTCTCGATCTGTGACTGCAGATTATTTAACTGATCCCGCAGCTTTTGCCGTTCCTCGTCCGCGGCTTGCAGCGAACGCTGCAGACCCTGCCGCTCGCTGGACATAAGATCGTGTTGTTGCTGGAACTTGGAGCACTTGGTTTCCAGATCGCTAATCGTGCGCTTCAGCTCGATCTCTTGATTCTCCTTCAGGTGAATTTCATCTGTGGGCGGACGTGACATGAGTTTTAATGGAATATTTCCCATGCAGCATCACACTTACTTTGCAGCAGATCGACTTTATCAACCCACTGCTGAATCTCGTCCAGCTTTTTGGCATTTTCCTTTTTCTGCTTCTTCAAGTCCTCCTGCAGTTTTTTCTGCTTCAAGTCCATGCTGCTGATGATGTCCTTGAGCGCGCGCACCTCGTGCTGGGACTCCTGATATAGGGCGGCGTTTTTCTCAGCGCTCTGATGCTCGCCCTGCAGATCTCGCTTGAGCACATCGCGTTCCTTGATTAGATTCTCATTGTTCTTCTCGAAGTGATGCACCACACGACGCATGGACTCCAGCTCCTTGTCTTGGGTGCCCAGCTGGGTTCTGTAAATGCAAAATATTTAATATATTCCATGTATATATATGGACGATGTGGCAGGATCTACTTGAGCCGCATATTCTCCTGCTCCACCTCCTGCTTGGACATCTCCAGACCGCCGTATTTGCGTGCGATGGTCTCCTGTGATTTGGCCAGCTTGGCGTTGTCTTGGCGCAGCTTGATGAGCTCATCCTCGCGCACCTTAAGTAGATTAATGCGCTGATTTAAGGCACGTTTGTTCTTGTCCCGCTCCTGCACCGTATACTCCAGATCCACCGTAATCTTGGCCAGCTTATTGCAGGTGCTGTTGTGCAACGTATTCAGATGCTCCATGTTCGTCTTCAGCGAGAGTATTTGCAGATTCTGACGCACCTTGACCTTGGTCAGATGCTCATTGGTCGTCTTGATGTGTGCTATCTGCTCCAGATATTTGGTCTCCTCGCTTTTCATGGCAGCCAGCTCCTTGGACAGAGCATCACTCTTACGCTTCAAATTGCACGCATCGCTGGAGGTTTCCTGAGCGGGCAAATATCTATTATAGGCAATGTCTGGCGATCAGCTTTATTTCATACATACATCCAGCAGCTTGAGTATATCCTTGTTTTTGCCCTCCAGCGCCTGTATGGTGGCCTCCACCTCCGCCGCGTAAGCGCGTTGCAGCTGAAGGCGCTTGTTTAGCTCCTTAATTTCATCATTGAGTCGTTCACATTCTTTGCTGTCATCCCGCTTGTTGCTCTTGGCGCGACCCTTTTCGTTGAGGTGCATGACCATCTGCTCGGCAGCATCCAGTTTCTGGCGCAGACTTAACACCTCGTCCTGTGCCGACTGCTCGCGTATCTGTGACGCATCCTTCTGCTTCCAGGCGCCCTCTGTGCAGGTAATATGGTATATGATAGACAAGGCGCTCTTTGCCGTCTTTCTCTCTCTCTCTCTCTTTCTAAACACTCACCTATAACACCACGCAGCTGCTCAATGGTGGCCATATCCAATTTGCTTATGTTCGCCGCATTTTCCAGACGCTCCTCGAGCGCAGCTATTTGCTCGCGCAGCTCCTGCGTGCGACCCTCCTCCATGCGCAGATCATTCTTGTAGCGTGTGCCACAGATGAGCAGACGCTGAACATTGTCCGCATTGTTGGGAGTATCCTTTTGCCGCAACGCCTTGGTTGCCTGAAAATGTTTAACGCAATTGTTAGAACGTCCAGATTCTCGTTAAGATGCGACTCACCTCGGGTATCTTCTCGCTGAGCTCCCTGAAGAAGTCATCATCAAAGTCGTCTGGCACCAACGGCTCGTCCTCCGAGCCCGAAGCCTTTGACATTTTTGGATAGTATAAATTTGTTCCTCTTCAACTCTTCTAGCTCTTCGTATCGACTAAACCCAAAAGTACATAAATTGGCGTCCTGGCAACAAGTTGCCATACCGGCGCATGAGGCATATCCTAGCAACGTATCTACTCAACAGGTTTTAAGCTTGCAAATTGCGCCAGTTCTGTTTATTTGGATAGGACATATAGGACATATCTAGCTCACAATCTCTATGGAAACGCTAAATATCAAGTCTTAGCTTATACTAATAGATGACTAATAAATATTCTTGGCATGCCACCCTAATGGAAATGCTTGACTTAAGCCTAATAATTTAACTAATGCGCTAAGATGACATCACAAAAGCTGCAATCCTCCGCACACGGACTATGGCCACTCATCCTCGAAGATTGCATCGTGCACAGTATGAAAACTAAGACCGTTGCCTTCGGGTCTGTGCCACGAGGGCAGCAACACGGTGCGCCAAAACGATCTGAAAAGAAAGTGAATTGTGTAAGTGAAGAAGAAGTGAAGAATGTATTTAGCGACAGGAATTACCTGCCACGCACAAGGCCCAGAAATAGTTTCCAATTCTTTTTGGTGCCAAAATTATAGGGATTAATGTAAATGCGTTTCAGTTGTAAGAATCTTTTGCGTTCAGCCTCATTAATATGCGCCTCCACGCTGGTCTCGCCGCGCGTGATGAGCTTGGCGTGCCAGGTGCAGAGGGTGCCCAGGGCAATCACCACAGCCACATTGGTCACGGCCATAAACCATAAAATGCGTCGACGTGTGGGCGTGGAGTCGGCCAGCGTGTCCGCCATGGGCGTGGGCAAATGATGCACAGCTGCTGGCAACAGGATGTCATCGTACTCATGCGGATGCGTCTGCAAAACAAATACGTACATATAAAAAGGGAGCTGCAATAATATTTCAATTGAATAAACATACAACAAGTATGGCATGTCCGCTTAGATTGAATTTGACTGGGTGACCCTCGAGCGGTTCCAATTCCGTCCAGTGCTCGCTGTGATCCAGCCAGAGATATTTGTAGCCAATCTCCAGGCCACACACAATAAGAAACAGGCAGCCCAGCGTGGTGTACAGCATATATAGAAAGAAGTAGCGATGATTCGCATAACCCACGCAGTTATTAAGCCAGGCTAAAAATAAACTTTACTGTTAACAGTACAAAGAGCGGAGACAGACCCTATACGCACGACAATGATGATCCATTTTCAATATGCAGCGATTGCACACGGAACAGTGGTGCGTGCGCGGCGGCTTTGGGGAAATGCATTTGGTACACATGCTGACGGCCTCCACATGGCTAACACCTTCTGGTGGCTGTCCAGCGGGCGTTATCACAGCCATCACATAATGGAAAATAATGTTTAGCAGCAGCCAGTTGCCCACGATAAGCAGCAGTATTGTTGCCACTCGGCTCTTGGCCCACCAAAAGGGCAGGCCAATCCAATAGGCGATGCCCACAACGGCAGTAGTCAGTATAGCCACGCCCACAACGAAGAACTGAAAGTACACAATAGAAAGAACTTTTAGTTAGGGGTTTAGCCATTGGAGTTATAAATTATATGAAAGATATATAATCTAGCTCGATGGGCTTAAACAAAATAATTTATAAAAAAAGTTAAAAGACGAATTTAACTTCCCAGAAGCATACGAACGGATCTAGCTGTTGATACTGGTCAAGAATATGTATATATAGTTAATATTTAATAGTTCGTTTATAACCAGTTTTTTATACTCTGCGAGTGGAGCTTCAGCTAGTTAACAGTTGAATTTGGCTATTTTAATATGTTTTTAGCCAGAAACAACTAAATTTGGCTGTAAATAATTTAGCTTGGTTTAGCCATTTTTAACATTGAATTCAGCCTTTTTGAAGCGGCAGTTGGCAACGCTGCCCATGAGCTGCTTGTAAACAAATTGAAAAGTCATTACATACTGGTCCCAAACAGTGTGTGTAGTTGTCAACAACCCAGAAGATCGGCGTCATGCACACGTCGGTGGCATAGCTGGAATTCATGTGCGCATTGAAGGTGAGCGAGTGCCAGCAGTGGTTCATATAGCTCCAGCGTAGGCGAAATGTGGAGCTGCCGGTAGAATAACAAAGTTTACATATGCACAGCTAGCAGATAATCAAACACCTCGTCTCACACTTACACTAGACTCTGTGTGGAGTTCGTGCGCCAGGTAATGCGCGCCATTGTGTTCACTTTTAACTTATGCTCTTATTTTGTAAACTTAAAATAGAAGGGCGCATATGCATTTCAACGCTTTTATTTACAATCAGCCGTTCGATACAAGCAAACAGTGTTGCGTAGCCCAAGAACTTGGTGTTGGTAAGTGCCTAGTTACTTATCGACCAGCCACCACAATCAATAAGTGCGTTTTTATCGATAGACGCCGGTAACGTTTTAAATTTAAAGCTGATAAATTAGCAAATTTTATTTTAACGAAAATCGCTGTGTTAGATCATTTTGTATAAGAAACAATAGAAAGCCAGCGACTGTTGAGAATATTTTGTTGATCAGCGAACCGTCCAGCTCCAGCAGACCCATTGGCATTAATTTGTATTTAATGGTATTCACTTCCAGCCACAATGCATCCACAGCTTGCTTGAAGCGCACGTCGGCGTGCTCCAAGTTGATGCGCTGCAGCAAGTCACCCGTTTCCTTAGCCTGCAAGAAAGTCAATATTTGCATTTAAATTTTACAGACAACTCGGCAAACTACTTCGTCCAGGACTTGTTGACTGACGCGCGCCACCAAACATATTTCTGTGAAGGGAACCACCAGAAACACCAAATGTGCCAATGCTCGGGCTATATCATAGGTTTCTTCGAGCAGAATGTGATCAGCAAAGGCTTGATATTGCGTGTAGAAGCCCAGCGTCGTGATAAACAAATTAATGGCCATGGATGAGACCAGCGAGAAGGCGGTTAGCAGCAAATAGGCCATGGAGCGACCAGTTGAGAGCGCATACTTGGACGCCAGCTCATCCAGACGATCGGCCAGGTCGCAGAAGCGTTGCATACGATAGTAGGGTTTCTGCAGCAGCAACTCCAGAGGTGTTTGCAATCTGTTCACCTCGTTGCGAATCTCACGCAATCGCCTGTTGATCTCGACGAGCACAATCTTGGTGATCACAATGCCGCCAAAGAAACAGTTGTTCAGCTGGTTGCCCAAGTAGATGGGCAGCATTATCTTGCCCGTGCTCGCCCAACTGAGCTCGGGTTGTCTGTGTCTCTGGTATATAATCAGGGCCAAATGCATCAGCAGCGGACAGACAAACATCTTGAGGCTGGCCAGCGACGTGGCCCGGCCCACCGATCTCAGCGAGATGGTAAAAGAGTCGAGGGTGCTGAACAATGGCAAACTATTTTGAAAACTCAAGATCTCCGGTATGATGGCCCATTGGGTCACATAGTTGAGCAGCGCCACGCACAGGTTCATATAGCAATAGATCTGAATGGGATCGCGCAGATCGATTTTGTTCTCGGTGTATGCCACCCAAATCTGGGTCACATAGAAGGCGCCAATTAGCGTGGCCACAGAAAAACAGTAAATGGCCAAAGTCTTGCAAAACACAAACTTCCTGTGCTTGAAATCGAAACAACACGGAAAAATCCCATACACTATATTCTGCACTATGGCAATTATCAAACAGGCCATCACCACGCGGCTGGTCAGCGTCCAGGAGCTGCGCAGTCGAGGCGTTCGCCAGGAGACGCGTATGCGGCGTGTTGCCGCCTTCAGGTGTAGCATGGCACTGACGCGCACCGGCAACGATTTAATTGCACCTCAATTAAGCTGCGTCCTTATCTCATGCGAAGCATAATTAAGGCACTTAACAAATTAGGGTTGACTTATTTTATAAACGGCAAATTACGGAGTAGTGAGAATACGGGGTCCACTGTATTGTCGTAGTTAAAGGTCATAGTTCAAGTAACAAAATCTGTTGTAATGTCATATTAAACAGTAGTTGTCAGTGTTTGTTTTTATTAAAAATCTAACAAGTCTGCTTTCTCCCCCATTTTCCGCCTGTGGGCGTGCTTTTGTCGACATTCGTGAAACCACGTACTGCTCCCTTCTACAGTTTTCACATAGATTTGTTTAAGTAGAATATGTTGTAGAAAACTGTGTTCCACTTCTCTTTGTTAAGTGTCAATCTCATTCCATGCATTTTCCATGCCTAAGAGTAGAATTCGCTAACTAAAATCATAAAAAGAAAGAAAGTAAAGCAGTCTAGCTCTAAATTTTATGTCACATATAAATTACATTTGTCGTTAGTCTATAAGATGTATCTGCTGCATTAAAGTGGTTTGTACTCCAATTTGGTTTCCAGCTTCTTGTTGTCGGCAGTCTTGCGCACGGCCTTCATGAAGTCCTCGTGAATGACATACTCGCGATCCTCGCGCAGTGCAAACAGACCCGCCTCGGTGCAAATGTTGCGCAGGTCGGCGCCATTGAACATGTCCGATAGCTTTACAACCGCCTCGTAGTCAATCTCGCCCTGCTTGGATAGAGGGGCTGCATGAATCTTCAGTATATCGAGACGGGCTATTTCATTGGGCAAGGGTATTTCCAGTTTGCGATCCAAGCGACCGGGGCGCAACAGTGCCGGGTCCAGAGTGTCCGGACGATTGGTGGCCATTATAATCTTAACCTGGCCGAGAGCATCAAAGCCATCCATTTGGTTCAGCAGTTCCATGAGTGTGCGCTGTATTTCACGATCCGCCGAGGTGCCCTCCGAGAAGCGACGCCCGCCAATGGCATCGATCTCGTCCATGAAAATGATGCACGGCTGATGGTCGCGTGCATAGGAGAACATCTCACGTATGAGACGTGCACTTTCACCAATATACTTGTCCACAATGGCCGAGGAGACGACCTTTAGGAAGTTGGCATCCAGCTGGGAGGCAATGGCGCGTGCCAGCAGCGTTTTCCCAGTGCCGGGCGGGCCATACAAAAGACACCCCTTGGGCGGATTGATGCCAACGCGTATAAATAGTTCGGGATTCATCAGGGGCAGCTCGATGACCTCGCGCAGCTCGCGTATCTGATCACCCAGACCACCAATGGCCGAATAGTCCACATTGCCGGGATCTTCGTGCGTCATATTGTACACCTGTGGATCCACCTCGCGTGGCAGATAGCGCATTATGGTCAATGTGGTCATGTCCAGGGCGACTCGTGTGCCAGGCTTAAGCTTCGCCTTGTTCAACTGCCGGCGACAGCCGACCACATAGCGCGGCCCATTGGCAGACTTAACTATAAAGTTGTCCGGCGTCAGCTGCTTGAGCACCTCGCCCAGCATTTGGCCCACGCTCTGAAGTGCCTTCAGATCATCCTCGGACTTCTGGAATTCCAGATGCAGCTCCTTGTGCTTGTCACGCAGCGATTTCAAGCGTGACTCGATCTCGCGATGCTCCAGGAGTTTGGTGCGATAACTGGATAACGCGTTCACGCGCTCATCATTCAGCGGTGGACGTCCAGCTGGTTGGGATGACATTTCGCGTTAGTTTTCTAGCGCTTGACTTTTCAAATTTCAATTGGAAGCTAATTTATTGCGTTCACCGGACTTAAAACTGCAAATCACGTCTAACGATTTTGACGTTTGAAAAGCAAAGGAACGAAATTAGAACAGCGGACTTTGCAAATGACAGCTGAATCAAGGTTGCCCAACTGCTTGAGAAAGTAGATGCTCAGCAGTTTGAATAACTGTCAGCAGTAGCTGTAAAATTTGTGTGACGAGCAATTCTGTTGCCAGTAAGTATTCACATGCATTTTCCTGCTGTATAGTGCCTACAAAAGCATTAAATGAAATAAATTGCAATACATTTATTATGTTTTATATCGCTAGTTTTATTCGTGAAATTATTTTTGAATTGTTGAATTGCGGGCTGTTTAATAACTAAAATATAAGAAGAAGAGCTAAAATATAAGTTAAGAATTTAAAATATCGATATATTAGCTGGTCGTATCTTGACAGTATAAGACATGAAACGATAGTATTGCAGCCAAAGCTTAAGTTCCAATTTCAAACTATAATTCTTGTTTCTATATAAAAATTAGTAAGAAACTGTTGTTATAGACAAACAACAGCTTATATCAAAATAATGAATATACAGAGCTAGTGTTAACTTAAAAAACATACTAAGTATTTATCGCTCACTGTTAATAACAGATGAGCAAATGTTAATGCTCTTGCCAATGTTATGTCTAGCTGTTAAATAACATTCCACCTGGTTGATTGGCCGAATTTTTATTTTAGTCCAACAAACGCGTCGCAGATGAATTTGTATTTCGTAAAAACGCATAAAACCAGCTCTTCCGTGTCCGTGCTGCAGCGAAAAATGTTTAATAATGTGCAGTGAGACGGTATATTTAACAAAATTTAATGAATTCAACTGCAATCTGGAAATTGCGCGACTCCGCTGTGTCTATGTGCAATTGGCTGCTGGGAGAGCGAATGTGTAGACATGAAATAAAAGCAAAAATTTACAACGAACTGCGAAAAGCAGCAGCACCAGCAGCAGCAGCAACAGCAGCAGCAGCAGCAGCGGCAGCAGCGCACCCAACAGCAACGTCAGCTTCGTTGGGACGGATGGTCGCTTGGTCGTGCGGTCGATGCTAATAATTTCTCCGGGGGCTCTCGCGCATCTGGTGCTCCGCTGGACAAAGTGCGAAAAGAAAGTATATACAGTGAGTGTGCGAGTGTGCGGCCGTGTATATGTGTGTGTGTGTGCGTGCGTGCGTGCGATTTATTTATGTTGTTTAGCAACGAAATCAAACGAATTAGTTTAAGAATGTTTGTGTGCAAATATTAATTATAAGAAACGCAAAAGTGCTAAAATGTTTACCAAGAAATCCCACGCGGATGTTAAAAAGTCCACGGCCAAGCTGCAAGATTGCAAAAAGGATTCGGCCTCCCGCCTGCGCCACCTGCGCACAATATTAGGTAATGTACTTGAATACCAATTAACGCCTCTCTATAAATTATTAAATACAACCAAAAAAAAACTATGCAAACATAAGAAAACGAGTTGTATATGTGCATATATGTATATTAATATTTTTGCTGCTGGGCTGGACAGGTGGGCGTTTGACCGTGGTCGCTGCCATTTAAAATGTAGCAATATTAAGCGACAAATGTTGATTATTATTTTATAGCTGCGGCCCACAGCGCTTAATGCTATTTCCTGTTGGAGCACACACAGCACGTACATATTTACATATGCTAATACATTACTCCCACTGTTCATTGTTTTGTTCAAACTCTGTTAACTAACTAATGTTAAACAAATAAAAAAAGCATATCTCAACAAATGGCAAATATATTACTCTACATAGGCAGACAGGCACATCACACACACACACACACATCATGCACATATTTAAATACTAAATTGTACTACATATTCTATTCTTCTACTCCCAACTGTTAAAGTTAACAGCATACTAATAATCATAACTTAACAAATGGCAACCACATTCTAATGTATGCAAAAATGAGACATACAAACGCACATCGTACACTCACGCACACATGCATACTTAACGCGCAATGTGTGAAAAAACGTCAAATGATAAACGCGGCACACAATTATTACGGCGCTTACCAACTGGCGGCAACTGTTGACTGAGTGGCAACTTTGTTGCTACAATTTCAACACCAGCCAAAAAACATGCATGCAATACATATACAAATGCACATGCCTAGGTACATACCTACGTACATACATGTATGTATGTGGCTGTGTAACTTTCTTTTTGTGTCATTGAACGCAGCTATTAAAAAAAAAAAAAAACACCCAACAGGTGCCTGCCCACCCGCTCGGCTCCATTGTTATTGTTGTTTTTACTCGGCAAATTACACGCAGTTTGTGCCACACACACACACAAACACCAACGGTCATACACACTCATACATATGTAGCTAGTTCTTTTTTCCAATTGTTTGTTACTTTATCAACAAGCGCGCTTCGCATTTGGCCTTCTATGAAACCAGTTTTAAAGGTTTCTTGGCCTACTCTTTCCGCTCAACGTTTAGCTTTCTTCTGTTTTGCAGCGTTTCGCTGATGACAGCTACACATGCCGGCAGCAGCAGCTACCTGCCCCCCCCCCCCCCCCCCTCTCTTCCCCCTCTTCACCCCCTGCAACCCTTTTACCGCTCTGGCACTGATTCATCAAATGTTGGTTTTTTTTCAACGCATTTTTGAGCCCGCTTCTGCGGTTTTCGCCCGTTCGTCATGTGTGGTTTTCTTTTCTCGAGTCTGCAACAGAACAGAACTGTGGAAATCGCCTGCATACATGTGCATATACATATGCACATGCGTATGTATGTACATATATATACATACATACATGTTTATCGTTATCGGCGATATGCTCTTTGTTTATTGGCCAATCAATGTTGACGTTGCGTCAGCGTCCGCCACCTGTTGCTCAGGTGGGAAGCGGGCTGTGCTTATCAGATCAGAGCGGGAATTGGGTTACTCGGATTTGTTTTTATATACGTACATGCAGCATTTGCTAAATTATTTCTCTATATATCTTTCTCTTTTTAGATAATGTGGATTATGAGGAGTCAAAGTCGCTGTTCGAGACAAATTATAGCCATGTTTATTTTATACTCTACGACACCTTCATACAGGCCGAGGCAAATCTTAAGCAAAAAGGTAATTATATATATCAAATCTTAAAAGCGTTTTCTTTTAGTTTAAGTGCCCTGTACCCGAAAAAAGGGGGTATGTTGCAGTTGTGCTAATGCTTGTTACAGAAAAGAGACATTTGCGAAACAAGTATAGAGAATATTGTTGATCAATAAGTTTGGTCGATTTCCGAAATTCGACTATTGGTTCGATTGTCTGTGGATCTGCCTAGATCTCAGACTCTATTTGAAAAAAAAACAAATTAAGGTGGGACAAAGAAGTTTTCTTTTCTTCACAGTTAACCTCCTTCGATAAATATAGTTTTTTTTAGCTTTTAGTTAGTTTATACAAACTGCGACAGAGACACAGAACTGGGTACAGGGTATCTGCTAGTGGGACACTCCCGGCTAGAGCACTTTTACTTGTTTTTGTCCGCTTTCAACTTGTTAATCTTTTCCCCACCAATTAAGAAAGCAAACCGCATTTAAATTAATGGTTGCTTCTTGTTTGTGTCTTTTGTCTACAACTATACGTATCTACATTTGTTTAATACGTTTCTTCTCATACAAATAAAACAACGAAAAATGACACAAATAAATTGTAGTTTCTATGATTATGTTTAAGGAAATACTCTAAATTCAATTCCTGCTAAATTTGTTTTTGCCCTCTCTTTTGTATAACTTTTTACTGGCAGAACTTCCGTTTCACATTGGTAAGTTTGCGGCGTGGTCTTCTATTGACTTATCCAGTAAAATTCATCACATTCCGACTTTGCTTTGACTTTAAATTTCCCTTACATTGTTTACTATTGTTTCATTCTATTCATCTTTCTGTTTCCTATTTGTCACTACAGCTTGTTACTGTTCCATTCCGTTCCATTCCAGCATCTGTTAGAACATGTCAGAATATCAAGTGTAATTGCCATTTTTATTTCATATGATTTCAATAGAATTAAACAATCAAATTATCACATGTGCCATCGAGAATTTGTCTATTGATACAGTGCACTGTTTCATTCCAGCATTCCATTAAGCATTTTAATTTAGAAGCCTATTAGAAATACATTTAAAAATGTCACATGCCATTCTATAAATCTCTAGTAGGGTATAGAAGTCTGTTCCATCTCAGCGTTCCTATGGCAGATATATGTATATATATATATGGGTATTTGAAAATGGTGCTGTTTTCATTTACATTTAGTATAAAAAATGTTCTATTCCAGCATTCCTAACAGCATATACATATCAAAAAATGTGGGAATTTGTTCCATTTCCATTGGCATTTGCTCCATTTCAAAAGTATTGATCTCAATAGTAGATGGTTCCGTTTAATTCCAGAGTTTCTTAAAGCTTTTTAAAAATGTTTCATTTGAAAGCTTTATGTAGAATAAGCTTTGTAAGATTTTTTATAATTTTATATTCTTTAAATTGTAATTGATCTTAAATGAAATAAAATTATTCATTAATTTCTTCCACTCGCCTCGTCTCTCTCGCACTCGCTCTGTTGCATTTTGTGCTCGTCCCGCCATTGGCATGTGCTTGCTTAGGACTCTCTCAGATTGCTTGTTACAGGAATTTACTTGCTGAGATTGGCTCTTTAACCCACAATTATCCTTTATCTTTATGCAGTGCACAAGGCGCATCGCGAGGAACTGGATGGATCGCTATGGCTGCTGGAGAAGATACTGTGCCTGTTGCCGGAGCTGTTGGCTCGCCGCTGGCAATGTCACTCGCTCAGCCGCATCATGGCCAAGCTGCTGCACTTGGGCAATTCGCCCAAGCTGCGACGCGAGGGTGTGAAGTAAGTATTAAAAATTTGACAAGCTTGGAAGCCAACTAAATCCTTTCAAACTTACAGATACTTTCTGCTGTGGTACCAGACTCTGGGCGACAATGCGCCAGGATATGTGCACGCCATGTACGCGGATTTGATACCCGGCCTGATAGTGCCACAGAAGGGCATTGTGGGACCCGATACGGAGTTCAGCGCTACGGA